TGGTAAGCTTCTCACTGTTTTTACAAACCTGACTTATTCTGATGGATTGAAATTTCATTTTTTAATAAATACCTATAGTTAAGATGCAAATTAATCTTCAGTCTAATACAAAATACAAGAAGCCAAAAAGAATTAAATTTTTAGGACATCAATGCAAAGGAAAAATAAAATTTGGAGATTTATATTTGACAAAGTTAAAACTAAACTTTTATTTACACGAAACAAAAAAGAAAAAAGTAACCTAAGTAACATACAAATTTAACTTTTAAAGAATAATAATAAGCATAAAAATGAACCAAATTTGCAAGCAAGTACAAAAGCAGAACACACACACTAATATAACAGCCAGAGTCATCCCTAGGGCCAGGCAACTGGGGCAACCTCCCTGGGCCCCATGATTAAGAGGATGCAGCATAATAATGTTTTATTATTAAAATGTAACAATTGGTATTTCAACCTAAAACTTAATTTTAAAATATAATTGTATGGTACATTGGAAAAATCTTATGAATCTTGATTTCTTGATACAACTTTGCTACTAATTGATTTTATGATCTACAAAAAGAATAACTGTTTAAATTTATGCTGTTTAATGGTACTTTTTTAAATTTAATAAGGTGTTTTAATTTAACTTCGTTCAGCACTCCATTATTGTAAAACAGCAGAGAAAAACATTGTTATAATGATAATAACTTTAAAACTTGGGATTGGAACTTTACTGACACAAGCAAGTTTTTCAAATTTTCCAATTATTATTATATTTTTTTTAATCTCTATTTTTTCTGCTATAAGTAATAGATATGTATATATTCATGGTGCGGTTTACTTTATATTACTTTTAAAAAATCAATTTTTCAAAAATATTTCCTCAAAATTGATGGAAAAACTTTATGGGTTAATTGTACCTAAATAACCCCCGTTTTTGTGCCTGGACCACATTTAATCAGAGACAAAGCTTTTTATTCGTATTCTTTATTTTCTATGCATTTTGGGTGCAATATTTTCTTTTCTATTCATTTTTTATTTCAAGTTTTATTTTATATTTTTTCTAGGATTTAGAACATTAGCAATGAATAGAAATATTCATTGCTAATGTTCTAAATGAGTAGAGATTGTGATAAAAATAAAAATGATTTAAGTGGTAACCAGAAAAGAAAACGTACCGAAAATAAAAAGATTTAGAAAGTCGTCAAACAGATAGTCTTTTAAAATATTTTAAAACTGATAATGAAGAAAACAATCTGACTATACCTAGCACTAGTGTACAAAATAAAGAAGAATTGCAAATTACATACAAAGAATTACCTTCATTATTGAATGAAGATGGAGCTATAAATGATGAAGAAGGTCAGGAAGATTTTTTTCTTAGCGCAAATGAGGAAAGTAAAGAATTATCGACCTTATTGGAAGATGATCCTGGAACATGACCACTCACACCCTTCTGAGAAAAATCAGATTATTATTAATTAATAAAAGCATTGTTCAAGTAACAAATTACGATTTTCCCATAGATGAACTAGGTAGAAAATTTAATTTATCTTATTATACAAAAGTACATTTAAATGAAGAAAAATATTGCAGAAAACTGGCTTCTCTATTCAAAACTAAAAGATAAAGTGTTTTGTTTTTACTGCTATTTTTGTCCTAATCAATTGTCAAGATCATTTTTAGCATTAGTAAATGAAGGTGTTTTTGCCTGGAAGCACCTTAGAAGTTGTTTAAATGAACAGGAATTATCATTGCCAAATAAAAAATCACTTGAAGATTTGGAACTAAAAAACAGGTTGCAAAAAGAACAAACAATTGACGATTTTCATCAAAGACAATTAAATTCAGATGCATGAAGTTCTTAGAAAGATTATATTTTGTATACAATATTTAGCTAAAAACAACAATGTACTTCGTGAAATGAATCAGACAATTTTTACAAAAAATAATGGTAAATTAGTAGAGCGTCGATTTTCCGAATCATTTGGGGACTGGGGATGTCCGGATAACTGATATTTCGGATAACTGATTTACGTACGAAAAAATAGTTTAACGTATCCGATGTCGAAATTTTTATCCGTTGCGTGTCCCCTCGCGTTGAATTTTCGTCGATGTTAAGCCTAACAAAGACTATTGTATCGTTAAAAATTATTTTTTTATTTTGTACAAACAAAATAAATATATTGAAAAATATAAAAATAATAAAAAATATACTTCAGAGGTTAATTTAGTATCAAAAACGTAAAATATTTGAGTAGCCTAAGACATAGCTAAAGATTGAAGCGCCACAGCACTGGCGAAAATTTAAATTTGCCAACTGGAATTCTTTCGGATGATTGATGTTTCGGATGATTGACTTTCGGAAAATCGACGCTCTACTGTAATTTCAAAATTTGATGCAAGAATGTCAGATTATATAAGATATAAGACGTATCAAAGATAAAGAAACAAACGATCATTATTTAGATTGGAAAATTTAAAATGATATTAATCAATCTGTTGGCAAACAAAGTTAAAAATGAAATAATAATTAAAAAAAAAAAAGTAAACATTATGCAATACAGTTAGACTGTACTACTGATAAATGTCATATTGAACATTTGACTCTCATTGTTTGAGTTGTAGAAATGCTTGATGAACAAGAATGAAATGAAGTTGAAAATAATGATTGGTTTTTCTTCTATGCCAAAAAGTACAAGGTTTGATTTATCAGAGGAATTATTTAACAACTTGAAACTCTAAATATTTCAATGAATGATTGCCGTGGACAAGCTTATGACAATGGGGCTAACATGGTAGACAAGAGAAAAGACATGCAAGCAAGGACTTTGGAAAAAATCTGACAGCATTTTTCTGTGTCATGTTCTGCGCACAATTTAAATTTTTTAATAGGTAATATGGCTTCCTCAGTTCTATGGCTATGATATTGTTTGGAACACTTTCAAGACTGCATACACTATTTTCCACATCTGCTCACAGGTGGGCTATTTTAATTAAACATTTAATAAATTCAACTCTAAAACCATTATCAGAAACACATTGGATATGCTGACTAAATTTTGTGAAGACATAATTTTGTTTAAATCAAATCGAACTAACAGCATTAGAAGAATTAAATGATGTGACAGAGGATTCTAGTGTAAAAAGTGAAACAGATTCCTTGAGAAATATGCATGACTCTTCCAAATCTGGCCATTAGTTTAAGAATATTATTAACAATTCTGATTTCAACAGCATCAGCAGAACAAAGTTTTTCTAAATTAAAACTAATTAAAAATTATTTACGAACAACAATGTCACAGGAACGATTAACAAATCTGACACTTTTAACTATTGTGTACAAAATACAGTCGACCCTCCTATAATGCAGTAGATACGTTCCACTTTATAAGAATTTCGTGTTGTAGGAATCCTTAAATACATGAGCCAATCACAGCCCGGCACATGTGCAGTTTACAGACTACGGATACTTGAAAAGTTTCCTTCCATAAAATTAATCGATTCTAGACTAATTCGACTTAACATTTCCAAAATACGTATAATTTTTTGGGAATAATCCGTATAAACTACAGTAGACCCCTATAACGTGGGTTCCTATAACGCGGCGAAAAAAATTGCGACAGTATTCATATAAAGACGCTAAAAGGGACACATAAAACGTGGTAAAATGTCATCGCGGACGAGCAGCCGAACTACTTTCCGCCGTCCAGCACCATGCTACGGAGAGTTTAGGTGAGTAAGTTGAGTTTACTATCGTCTGTACAGTATGTAAATTAGGTACCATAAGTCTAATACAGCACTGTAATTTTATACATTTCTTGTAAAAGAAACATTTCTCATTCAACGGCCATAAAAATTATTTCTATTAATGATGTCTCCAAAGTTCATCGAATTTTTCACAGAAAAATCGCGGCTGCCGTTTGATGCACTGCTCCACAACAAACACAAGCTTAAGCAATGGCAACGTCGAACGGTGCACACTCAATAAGTAATCCTACAATTTTTTGTTTATAGCATAGTTTATACGGATTATTCCCAAAAAATTATATGTATTTTGGAAATGTTAAGTCGAATTAGTCTAGAATCGATTAATTTTATGGAAGAAAACCTTTCAAACAGCCGTAGTCCATAAACTTCACACGTGTCGGGCTGCGATTGGCTCATGTATTTAAGGATTCCTACAACGTGAAATTCGTATAACGAGGAACATATCTACCACGTTATAGGGGGGTCTACTGTATGCTATAAACAAAAAATTGTAGGATTACTTACCGAGTGTGCACCGTTTGATGACGCCATTGCTTAAGCTTCTTTTCGTCGCAGAACAGCGCACCAAACGGCGGCCGCGTTTTCTGATAAGTTATTTTTCTGTGAAAAATTCGTTGAACTTTGGAGACATCATTAATAGAAATAATTTTTATGGCCATTGAATAAGAAATGTTTTTTTCACAAGAAATGTATAAAATTACAGTACTGTATTAGACTTACAGTACCTAATTTATATACTGTACAGACGATAGTAAACTCAATTTACCCGCCTAAACTCTCCATAGTGTGCAAGTAGTTCGGCTGTTTGTCCACTATTGATCCAGATTCGACCAATCCTGCCGCGACACGAGTCGGTGATGACATTTTACTGCATTTTACGAGTCTCTTTTAGCGTCTTTATACGAATACGGTCGCAATTTTTTCGCCGCGATATAAGAATCCGCATTATATGAACCCGCGTTATAGGAGGGTTGACTGTATGTGAAAAATTAAATTGCAGTGGTTTAATAAAAGATTTTGCTGAAGTAAAAACCCACAAAATTAATATTTCATAAAATAGTGCAAAAGGTTCATTAAAAAAAAATTAAAGATAAAAATAAATAAAAACAAACATACTTCATACAATCTTAAAAAAAATTTTTTTTTACACTTTGTTTTATATTTCTGAAATTTTGTTTAAATAAATTTTTGAGAAGTTAACGTTAATTATTTTACTTATTAGTTTTTTTTTTACTAATACTTAATTTATTTTTAGAAAGGTCTCCGCAATTTCAGATATATAATATCATTGTTAATATTAAAGAAAGGGTTGTATATTTTAGAGTAGCTTTAAAATTTTGCAATGCACCTTGCCTCAACACTGGTTATTGTTTAATTTGAATAATTTCATATTAACATGTAAAAAATGAATGAAACCGCATCCCACTAATTAGGGTTTAAATACAATTATAGTAGATTATTTAATATTTTATTTTTGTAGTCAGATCATAAAATCACAAGACATTTTATTTTTTTGTAAGAGTATTCAATATGCAAATTAGCATTGTTACACTAATACAGCAAGCTTGTCTTTACTTCTGTTGGTCAGTATCTAGCTGTCAAATTCTAAGTTACTGTTTCATTGATTGATTGGTGCAGATTAAGATTTTTTTTAAGTTCTTTCTAATCAGGTTAATTCTTGACATTTTGAATAATTGTACTAAAAAATCAATTTTATTGTTGTAAATGCTAAATTTGAAACTTGTAATATTTGAGTTTCATACTAATTATTATTGTCGACATTATAATTTCTGTTTTGTAATCAAAGTCCAACACTGGCATTTGTGGTTTATTGAAGTTTTTTTGATTTTTTACAAAGCTATGATGCAATGGTTGGTTTCATTGATTTAGTTTGGACCTTGCAGGATGTGTAGTTGTGTGATTGATAATGCATTCTATTAATTGTCAATTTAAAGACACACAATAGATGACAGAGACTAAGAAAATAAAAATTCATAAAAATATATGTATATTAAAAATACATCTTATCTAAATATCATTCAACAGAAACCTTCAAAATGAATTAACCACATAAAATCAAGAATTCCTGTACATCAGTGTTTTTCAACCTGTGGGTCGCGACCCCCAAGGGGGTCGCAAAGCCTTACACGGGGGGTCGCGGGTAAAAGAAAAAGACAAGTGTTTGTAGGTTCTACACTACAATAAAAAAAACTACAATTTCAGTGAGAAGGCTGTGCCTGTTTATTTTTTAATAATTTGTCAAAACGTGGTTTTATTTTTGAGACACAAACAACTAAATCATTTTCTAATTGAAGCCTATTTCTCTTTTTAGTTTTTATGTCCACCATTGAAGAGAACGTTATTTCACATAGGTAAGAAGTGGCGAATGGCACTAATAATTTTAAAGCCTCTCTTGCCAGTTCTGAATACATTTGTTTTCTTTTCATCCAGAAGACGTCAATATTTTGCGAATGAAATTCCATTTTAAGCATGCCGTCAGCAGCTAAATCTATAAGATTTTCTTTCATCTTCGTGGTTAGATCAGCCAGTTGTACTGACATATCTATGAAAGGATTTAATATCCATCTATGCCCATAGTCAGCTTTAGAGTCCAGTTTTGGAAAGTAGGCTAAGTTAATAGTTTCTCTTCCAAATTATGCAAGCTCTGTATCATGCAAGGGATGTGAGAACTTACTACCAACAATTGATCCATTGCTGTTTCTTCGACAATCTTCTGAACACAAGGGAAAGACTCATATATATTTTTTTGCAAAGACGTTGACCACAAACAAAGTTTTGCGAAGAATCCTTTGATTTTATCTTTAGCTGTCAGAATGTTTTCTTCTCTCCCTTGGAGTTTCTTGTTTAAAATATTCAGGTGGCTAAAAAGATCAGCAAGAAATGCTAATTTTAGGAGCCAAACAGGGTCACATAAATAATTCGCATATTCAGATTTAGCACCTTGTAAAAACATTAACAATTCAGCTTTCAGTTCTAAAACTCTTGTCAATACCTTTCCTTTGGATAGCCACCTGACCTCTGTATGATAAAGGAGATTTTGATGGAGCGAACCCATGTCTTCACAAATGATTCTGAACAGTCGGGTTTGCAAGGCTTTACCTTTAATAGAATTCACAATTTTGATCACCTCTTTAAGCACTTCATTTAAATCAGAAGGTAAAACCTTGGCTACCAGAGCATGTCGATGAAGAAAGCAGTGTGTCCATGAGACATTAGGCATTATTGATTTTAATTTTGCAACGAGTCCGCTTTTTTGTCCAGTCATAGCTTTAGCGCCATCGCTACAAATGGCAATACATTTTGTCCAATCAATCTTGTAGTTGCGAATGCTTTCTAAAAATATGTCGTACAAACACTGACCTGTGGTGTTTGAAGAAAGTGCTTTGCAAAATAAAATGTCTTCTGTGATACTTTCATCTGCTTCAAAGTGCACAAATACTACAAACTGTGCACAATCTGAAACATCAGTAGATTCGTCAAACTGCAAAGCAAAATGTGGGCTCTTCTTTAATTTCTCGACTACTTGTTCTCGAATGTCACTGGCCATATCATTTATTCTGCGTTCAATAGTATTGTCAGAAAGTGGTATGCTTTTTAGCTTGCTTGCCTCCTGCCTACCTAACATAATTTCAACCATATCTAGGGCTGCTGGCAAAATAAGATTTTCGGCATCTGTATGTGGCTTCCCTGCTATAGCGACTCGGTATGCAACTCTGTAACTAGCTAATAATGCGTTTTCGTTGACACTGGATACCTAAAAACAGACAAAAAATCAGAAAAACAAATAAATAATTAAGCAATAATAAATATTATTTTTAATCACCAAATAACAATACTATTTTATTACCTGAATCATAGTATTTTGCTGCAGGTTAAGGGTTTTCAGCTTACATTCAAAGAAATCCAGCGGTTTATCAGCTTCTTTGGAATGTTTGGTTGAAAGATGACGCATAAGTTTTGATGGTTTCATACTCTCACGTGATAATACATCGCCACAAATTACACATTGTGGTTTATTATTCATGACAGTAAATCCGTATTTCAAGTAATTGTCGTAGTAATGTCTATTTTTTTCGGTTTTGATTCACTTCCGTCACTGCCACTTGTACCAGACGTGGAGGGCTGCGATCTTTTGAGAAATTTATCCATTTTATGGTCTTGCGGAGCAAAGCGCAAAGACAATACAATCACGTCTGTACTTGTTGGCGCATTCGCCTCCAGCGCACCCGTGGCAAAGTTACTATTTGCAGGGCTCTTGCGACTTATTTGCAGAGTACAATTGGTTTTTCGATTGATATTTAGGTGTCAACAGAAAGAAAATTAAATACGTAGTTTTTAAAATCACAGACATACTTTTAATATGGACCTGGGGGGGTCGCCAAAATTTTTTAACTTGTAAAGGGGTCTCGTATTCAAAAAGGTTGAAAAACACTGCTGTATATCAATTATACATATATAATGAAATTTAGGTATACTGTTATTTCTATAGAAAGTATGAAACTGAATAATTTTTAAAATTCTTGATTCTAATCAAGAAATTATAGTTATAATATACAGCGATTAAACTTACTTGTTGCATTTTCTCAAAGTCTAGACATGGTCTCTGAAGATTTGTACTGGTGTTTACATTTGGTATATGTCTATGCCTCTTCCTAGGTGACACAGAACATAGTTCGAGAGGTGGGATGTTGCCTACTGACGAGTGAAATAATTTAGGTGGTGGGGATAACGACCGACTGGGTTTGGGAACGTTCGCAGGAGGAGAAGAACGAAACTCCACAGGAGCTGAAATGCACACGAGATCTCGCACTTCCTCGTCAGAGGATCCGGAATTGTCTCCGAAACTGAACCTATTAGCCTGTGACCATTTCCTTTTCTCTGCATATTGAATGACAGTTTTTTCTTGAACCACATCTGCACTATTAATTACTTCCAGTTCTTCTTCCGAACTATGATGATCGCAGTTGTGATCACTATCACTGGGCAAGGCTGAATCTAATGCAGTGTCTAAAATGGGACTATCCACTTCAGTCTTGGAGGCTCCTGAATGTTGTTGCCTCTCACTGTTTTCTGCACTGTCAGTGATCACCTCTTGATTACTGCTACTTCGCTCTGCTTGCTTCTTATCTCCTGGAGATTGAACATCACTTTCCATAACTGCAATAAAATTAAAACAAATATTAATGTTGAAAATATAGCAAAACCTTACAATTTTTTTCAATATAGCTAAAAGCATTATCAGTGGTTCATTTGAATGAATATAGTACATGATTATAAAAAAAAAAAAAATTTATATGAGAGTTGATAAGGGTGCAGTCTTTTCCAAAGGCAGGCCACAAGTAAATTCTTTAGGCTTCCAGTAGGCTGCATGCATTTTTCCTTATAGAGTTGCTGAGTACTAACATACTCCACAATTGACAATATACTGGATACTAAAATAATATATGCTAATGATATGATCCTTATCTTTTACTGGTTAAGTTTAGATAGATAATTGAATGTTCTTTGTTACAGATTAGTTAGGGTTGTCTAATTAGCACAAGGCAGAAAATGGGAAAATAAAATTATGTTGTCAACAAATTAAAGCAAAAATTATCCAGGGGACACATTTGGCCACACAGATTGCTCATCACTAATTTAGAGTGAGCATTTGGAAATGTGTGTAAATCTTGTGTGTTCTATGACCAAAAAAAAATTCTGGTTTATCCTGAAACCATTCCCATAAAGCAGCTTCAATTTGGACATCTGATGAAAAACATCACTCCTCCAATTCCAGCTTTTTTGGATCTGATGAAATCTGATGGCATCAGATCTAAACTGTTAGGCAGGTGCAGAATAACCTGTAACTTCAGATTCTTAAGCACTTTTGCAGTCTCCATATTGTATTGTAGTGAAAACTTCTTTCTGGCCTTAATCTGTAAATACATCTCAGTGCTCTTAAGACTTCCCAATAATTTACCAAATTGATTGTTTTGTATAATTTTCCAATGTTAAAAATTCAATTCACTCCTTTGTACAAAATGAGAAATGAGTTCATATTTCAACTTGACTGTTAGGCTACAACACAAACAACAATATCATTCTTATAGACTAGATATTCATGGCTACTAAATGGTTATGGTCATGTGTTTCTATTCCTAAATTTTCCAGAGTGCTGCAGTAGAAAACTTTATCATCAAATCTATCTTTGTATCGATACACCAACAACTGCCATAAATGATCGGTCTATAATTTGGAAATGGTAATTATAAATTACAAATGAATTTGACACTAGAGGTGGCATTAGGCACCATCTCTTATTAAAATTAATAAGTATAATTTTTAATTAAATAATTTAGATTAAATTGGAGGAAAACAATTGGCCCAAAGTGGGACTTGAACTCACAACTCCCATTTACTGCATTGCCAGTTATGCTAGCTGGACCTCCGGTCCAATCGCCTCTTCCAGTATATTTTAACCATAAGCTATAACCATCATTGGTTATTATGGTGCTGACTGGGGACACATTCAGCACCCTCGTCCACTAAACATCCACACAAGGCACTCAATCAGTCATCGCATACCAAGAAAGGCATAGATATACATATAAACAACTATACTGAAACCCAATGCTTTGCAATGATACACCAACAAAATTATAATTATTAATTTTAATACAAGATTGCACCTAATGCCTCCCTCTAATGTCAAAATCATTTATAATTATTATTTCCAAATTATAGCCCAATTGATCATTTACAGCAGTTGTTGGTGTATCATTGCAAAGCATCAGGTTTCAGTATTAGTTGTTTATATGTCTATCTTTGTATCTTTTTTGAAGTCTTAAACATTGTAAAAACCAATACATATCATCAAAATTCAATATTTTCCTATTTACATTACTGAATGCAGAAGAATTATTGTAACAAATGTTAAATATGAATATTTCAAGTACCATAATTTTCTGCATATTACCCATGATGGCATTTAACTTATGGAAAAAGTGTTAAAATAAAAATAGAAATGCCATGTACCTCAATCCTTGGAAGTTACTGTTAAAATATGTTTTTAACACTATGTATTTTACTATGTATGTATTATATATTTTAAATTGTATACAGGTTAAGTAACTTTGCAGATGTTTCATTTTTTCCTTCCATTTCTATCAATTTACTTTAGCAATTTATTCTAGATGTAATTATAAGAAACAGAAAGAACAGAATATTTGAGACCTAACCATGTACCCTGTATTAAAAATATTAATAATTAAACTTATCAACAAGCTCCTTTATATGATAAAGACCCGATAGATTGTAATTGTCAGACCATATAATAGGATGCTAAAATTCTGTTTTGTTTATCCAACTACTGTTTAGAAAATGTTTACTACTGTAGCTTTAATACAATAGTAATTTTCCTCAATCTCGTGGCATACTTTATTTCTAAATTTAAATAATTTAACCATTGAACACCTTCCTGTAATCAAATTCTCCTCTTAACAATAATTAATAGTAATAATGTATTTTCACATTTATCTGTTATTAATTAGCACTTTTAAATTAAGTATTAATAAAATTGCTTTAATGCCAAACGATTGCCACATTATATTAGATTGTATTAATACTCTGGTAATCACTTGAGTTAATATTAAAGATCAAGTTAAATAATGTTAATATTTGTATAAAATTATTATTTTTTTTTTTGGAAAATAGTTTATTTCTAATGGTTGAAAATACAGTGCAATGATTCACTAATTTTGAAGATATTTATTTTAAGATGTATACAAATGTTATTTTAATATGAAATTTAATTCTACAATGTAGCTTAAAAAATGAAGCAAATAAATAAAAATATGAAAAGATGGAATTTTTGGTTATATTATACAAACACTTTTCATATGTTTTACTGAATTACAATGTAAGAATTTTAAAAAACATCATGGAATCTTTGAATGATTCCATTTTAGAATGAAAAACAGCTCCTTTGTATTTGGACTACTTCTAATTTGAGACAAGTCCATAAATCAGACCAAAGCATTAGTTCAATATATTAACTGAGTACTGGAAAAGTATGAAAAGTGTGTTTATATAATTTAAATGAAAATAGTAATGTCCTTATCTTCAGTTTTAAATTTGCACCAAAATAGCAGAAAGTAATAGTGGTGTTTATTAAACAAAACATTACAAAATAGGGATGTAAACATTATGTTGACTAACACGCCAAATTAATAAATAAACAAAAACACTGAGTTCGGCGTTAAATGCGTTTTTTTTTTTTTTTTATCGCTAGCACTTTCGACGAGCTTATTGTCGTCGTCCTCAGGCGATTTAAACAAAAAATAATCGAACACAAAATAGAACGCGTAATATAAATTGAAATTATGCTAAAGCCGTTAAGAACACGTAGAAACTTAAACATAATTCAAAAACCGAACGAGCAGATAGCTCCGTGAAGTGCGAGCTGGCGCATGCGCAGAGCTATGCTCACGCTGCATGCATTCTAGAGACTACGAATACCCGCCTAATCGCTTGTACAACGTGACCCATACACTAGGCAGCTCAAGCGTAGGGGTGTTGCAAGTGTCCAAGGTGGTAGTGAGGAGAGATTCCCATATAAAAACAGTTTTTCGATCTTTGCAGCTCTTGAGCATAACCGCTTGGGACCATAGCGGGTTGTAACCCTGCTCAAGTACCTTTTTTGCGAGCTCGGTGGTGTGTCTTTCCCTCATAATATCGTCTTGGTGCTCATCAAGGCGGCTGGAAAGCATTCTAGTGGTGGCCCCGATATATCTTGTGTTTACTCCCATTGCCTGATTTTCCAACGGTACAGCATAGACCCCCGATTTCTCAAGAATGGAAAATTTGTCTCTATCATTGCAAATAAGTTTGCGTAGGCTTGGAAGTGGGGTTAAAGGTAGAACAAGGTTGTGCTGCTTAAAGATTCTGCAGATACGTAAAGATATGGGTCCAAAGTAAGGCAACGCTACTTGAACCTTTGAAGATTCTCTTTTGCTGCATAAAGTAGTACATGGAAACAGTGCCTTGTTTACCTTATTGAGCACATACGTAAACTTTGCACGCGAAAAGCCCGCAGCGCGTACCGCCATATCGATGATCTCTAATTCGACGTTTATCAGCTCCTGCGTAGACGACAGTAAATAAGCCCTTCTGACAAGGGAGGCAATGGCAGTGTTAACGTATCGAGAAGGCTGAAAGGCCTCAGCTGGTATAATGTGCGGGGCCATGCCAGATTTGTGATAGACCGAGAATTGTAGTCCTTCCGCGAATTTACGTATATGCAAGTCTAAGAACGCTACTTCCGCATCCCTTTCTTTTTCCCAAGTGAAATTGATGGAAGGATATATACTTGCGAGTTGTTGCATGAAGATGAGGAACGACTCCTCTGTGTCCTCCCATGCTATGAGGATGTCGTCAACATAACGCAAATACAGTCTCGGGTAATGGATGGCAAGCGGGAAATCGAACGTTCTGCGCTCTATCTCTCTCATAACAAGTTCCGCTAGGATAGCGGATAAAGGGGAACCCATTGGGACCCCTTGTTTTTGCAAATAGATCTTTCGATTGAAACAGAAGTAATTGTGCTCGGTGACGAAGGTGAGGGCATCACGTATATCGAGCACCTGTTGGATGTTAAAGCCCTCTTTTAGAAGCAGCGAATTAGCCAGCATTACAGCCTCAAAGGTGGGCACAGAAGGATATAAGGATATTACATCTAGCTTGTAGAAGGTATAGGTGCATGGCTGTAGTGCCCCAATACTTGAAGCAATGGTGGATTTAGCAACTACAGAAGAGGGAGTGACATATGGGGATTCCGGAACTATTGCGCGAAGGCATTTGGCAAGCACTTTTTCTAAATAATAGGTGGGATGAGACCGTTTGTTTACCAGAGGACGTAACGGCCAGTTTGTCTTATGTGTTTTTGGCTGAAAAAAAAAAAAAAAAACGCATTTAACGCCGAACTCAGTGTTTTTGTTTTTGTTTATAAAATAGGGATGTTGTTTTAAACAGATTAATTTGGTTTTCATCATTATGGAGTTAATTTTGACAAGAACAAGAGTTTATCCTACTAGCATAATAATTATCAATTCAGTGTCAATCATCAAAGACTGACTAACTGCTCATCCAAAATGATTTTGATAAGTTCTTCTTTTGTTGGAATGTTTAGTGTTTATTGGGCAGCAATTTTCAAATTTCAGACCTATAGATTCCCACTATTATCCGTCTGTTTGTCCATCCTTCCCTCTGTTGGATGAAAATCTATCCTTCTGTTTGTTGGATGAAAATTGAGACTAGATACAGAAAGCTTAGAATCAAGCGACCCCAATTATTAACTATATATGAACTTCTAGCCTAGACTGGAAGTCAAATGAATTTTTAAATTAAAATAATTAAAAATTGCAGCCTGACATTCTGATATCACAATTATAACTAGTCTATTTCAGATAATAAGGTTCAGGCTATCTGGGATTGATACTTTTACTCTCTTCTGTTACATCAACCCTATTTTCACCCCTTTTATTTAAATTATAATCAATAATTTTCATTTAAAGTGGCCACCTATTAAGTGAAGTTGATAGTCTGCTTTATGAATGGTGATCCCATTCATATTCTTCACCCCGCTCTGCAAACTCCAAGTCAAATTGTTAGTGGCCCAAGCTTGACTTTGAATGGCGTATCTCTTGTTGCGATTCCAATTTACCAATCCCATCTGATACTCTGTCCCTACTGAACCAAAAGAGTTGCAGAGTGGAATCATCAATCACCCCCATTTGAGGAACATTACCGAACATTTGCATTCTCAGTATCGCTTTCCTCAATTTGCTGTCACTCCTCAATTCTGAAGCATCCTTCAAAGATGATAAGTAGGCAAATTGCAATAGAAAATCTGGACGAAGTTCTTTATTTGGAATAGGCCTCTCATTATTTAAATGACTCAAAATACAAAGATTCGGTTCTGGTTTATAAAGAAAGTGACATTGTCTATCGAGATGCAGACTCAAAGACAAGATTTCATGACTGTTTTGTTTGTTTTCATTTCTTTCAAAGAAATGAAATTTTAGATCCGCATCATGTGATAAGAGAAAAAATTGTTCAAATGATAGTCTGCTATATGGCTGAAGATGTGGTCATATAGCAAGTGATACAGATCAGTTGCAAAAGTCTGTTATAGTTATGTGAAACAGTCATTCTAGGAATATTTAGAATAAAATGGACTGCTTGAATCTCTCTGTAAATCTGAAAGTCCAATGTAGCAGGTGTGATATAACAATTAGCATTTTTATTTGTGTACAGTCGACCCCCCTATAACGTACGTTCCTATAACGACAATTCCTATAACGTAGCGAAAAAATTGTAGCAACTTTCGTATAACGTACCTCCTAGAACGTCGTTTCGCGACAAGATTGATAGAGTCTGGACCAATAGTGGATGAGCAGCCGAACTACTTTCCTCCGACCCTGCGCCACGCTACGGAGCGGNATTATACATACAGTACCTAATTTATATATAATTAATATATAATTATATGTACAGTACCTAATTTATATATAATTTATATATAATTATATATACAGATGAAACTAAACTCAATTTACCCGCCTAAACTCTCCGTAGCGTGGCGCTACGGACTTAGGGAAAGTAGTTCGGCTGCCCGATGACATTTTACGTAATTATAGGAGTTATTTTACCGTTGTGTACGGATACTGCCACAATTTTTTCGTCATCTTATAGGAATCGTAATTATAGGAACCAGTCTTATAGGGGGATCTACTGTATATAGAAAATAAAATTACTTTTGCTTTAGTAAACAATATGATGATAACACGCCAAATTAATATATAATAACAACAAAAACAAAAACACTGAGTTCGGCATTATATGCGTTTTTTATCGCTAGTACTTTCAACGAGCTTATTGTCGTCGTCCTCAGGCGAATACAGATATTTACAAAAAATTTAAACAAAAATAATCGAATACAAAATAGAACGCATAAGATAAATTGAAATTATGCTAAAGCCGTTAAGAACACGTAGAAATTTAAACATAATTTGAAAACCGAACGAGCAGCTTCGTGAAGTGCGAGCTGGCGCATGCGCAGAGCCATGCTCACGCTACATGCATACTAGAAACTACGAATTCTCGCTTAATCGCTTATACAATGTGACCAATACACTAGGCAGCTCAAGCGTAGGGGTGTTGCAAGTGTCCAAGGTGGTAGTGAGGAGAGATTCCCATATAAAAACAGTTTTTCGATCTTTGCAGCTCTTGAGCATAACCACTTGGGACCATAGCGGGTTGTAACCCTGCTCAAGTACCTTTTTTGCGAGCTCGGTGGTGTGTCTTCCCCTCATAACATCGTCTTGGTGCTCATCAAGGCGGCTGGAAAGCATTCTAGTGGTGGCCCCGATATATCTTGTATTTACTCCCATTGCCTGATTTTCCAACGGTACAGCATGGACCCCCGATTTCTCAAGAATGGAAAATTTGTCTCTATCATTGCAAATAAGTTTGCGTAGGCTTGGAAGTGTGGTTAAAGGTAGTACAAGGTTGTGCTGCTTAAAGATTCTGCAGATACGTAAAGATATGGGTCCAAGGTAAGGCAACGCTACTTGAACTTTTGAAGACTCTCTTTTGCTGCATAAAGTAGTACATGGAAACAGTGCTTTCTTTACCTTATTGAGCACATACGTAAACTTTGCACGCGAAAAGCCCACAGCGCGTACCGCCAAATCGATGATTTCTAACTCGATGTTTATCAGCTCCTGCGTAGACGACAGTAAATAAGCCCTTCTGACAAGGGAGGCAATGGCAGTGTTAACGTATCGAGAAGGCTGAAAAGCCTCAGCTGGTATAATGTGCGGAGCTAAGCCAGATTTGTGATGGACCGAGAATTGTAGTCCTTCCGCAAATTTACGTATATGCAAGTCTAAGAACACTACTTCCGCATCGCTTTCTTTCTCCCAAGTGAAATTGATGGAAGGATATATACTTGCGAGTTGTTGCATAAAGATGAGGAACGACTCCTCTGTGTCCTCCCACGCTATGAGGATGTCGTCAACATAACGCAAACACAGCCTCGGGTAATGAATGGCAAGCGGGAAATTGAACGTTCTATGCTCAATCTCTCTCATAACAAGTTCCGCTAGGATAGCGGATAAAGTTTTTGTTTTTGTTGTTATTATACTTTTGCTTTATTTGATTGTATATCTAAATATGATCATAATAATTATTAGCTTTCTGATTTAATAAATAGATGCATCCTGAGGTATATAAACAGTGTGTTATTCAGATAGTTTTCAGTTCAGAAGTATTTAGCAATTTGGTTGTTAATGTAACATTACATGATATTAATAAATGTTTATGCTTGTTGTTGTTAACTTATATATGTTTCACTTCATTTTGTTTAATCAATTTGTCTACTTTTACATTGCTTAACAATTGAAATCTAACACTAATATAATTTTTTCCTTTGATTAATCCATTGATTATCTGTGTTTGTTAAGTCAGTTTGAAGATTAGTGTAAAAGCAGATAAAAGAAAAGAAATCATTACAAACAAAGAACAATATAACAGTGTAATTAATACCAATAAATATAGTATTTTAAATGAAAATCCAATAAATAAAATTTAAAAAGAGTTAAAAAAGTAAGTAATAAATTAAAAAATAATTTCAATAGAACAATATAAATATATAAATGTTACAGGAACTAGAGCAGTGATTCCCAAACTTTTTCGATCCACCGCCCCCTTTGTTCCGTAAAGTTATACCCAACGCCCCCTAACCCATTTTCTCTTGTGTGAGAAAAGGATTGGAAATATTCTTAGGAAAACTTTTCTATGAATCTCACACTTTGTGCCCTTACTGTACATTGTTCTCATCATCTGGAAACCATTAAACGCAATGTTTCCTCTTATCAGCCCCAATTTTGCCTTTGGTCACCGTTCAATACCCTGCCTCTATCATAGATCTATTCATCGCGCCAGAAGGGGGCGTTATTGCTTACTTTGAGAAACGCTGAGCTAAAATAAAAGTCAATGTGTTAGAAATATTCAAGTTGTGACCTTCAATAAAAAATAAAAAATATATAAAATGTCAACATTTTATATATATTCCGTCGAATTTTTATATATAGAATTTGTCTGCCGTCGCCCCTCTAGATTTCCTTAACGCCCCCAATTCTCTTTGAGCCTTCTACTGCCCCCCTGAAAGCCTCCAGCGCCCACAAGGGGGCGTTATCGCCCACTTTGAGAAACACTGAACTAGAGAAACAAGGATAAATATTAGAATAAAAACACAAAAATCCAATACGATATGGCTCAAAATTGCCAAGGCTGCACGTTTCCAGATTAGTTTTATGATGAAAAATATTACAAGCATTAATGATGACAGTTACTTTATATTGTCACTAAATTTCTGTTTAAACAATACTTGATAGTGCAGTGCATAGAATCTGTTACTTTTTTATAATATTGCTTTGCAACAGAGCCTTTGCTAAAAATGGTCATTTCGGGAATGATTTTTGTAAAGTTAATGAAATGTCCAAAAAATGTAAAAGTGTGGTTTTTTTGCTTTATTCAATGGTATAGGTATATATATATTCATCAATATTATCTAAAAAAATAACAACAATAATACACATAAAATCTTTTTAAAGCCAAATACATCAAAAATGAAGATTAGTTGATACATCAAATACATCAAAAATGAAGATAAAAACATTAGTAACTGTTATAATTAAATTCACATTACATGCATAGAAGTATTGTTTTTTAATATAACTACAATATTTTATTGTGACGATAACTAAAATTGTAAATGTTTTATTCAGTTTTAGTAACATTCTTGGAAATGATCAGACATTCCTGGAATGATAAGAATGTTTGCTTGATGATAATGATATTATAGGTTAGTAAAGGTACATTTTAATTATGAACGACAGTTTCAGAAATCAAAGCTGTTTATTTATAAAGCCATAACATTTATACTTAACATAAAATTAACTTTACTTAGTTCAGGAAAAGCTATATAATACAATCTAAAATAAATTCTGAAACAAAAACTTGTTAACTTTGTAAAGACTTATTTACAAAACAAAGCAAAGCATAATTCGTAAATTTTTTCAAAAACATCAATATCAGTATCGAAATAATAATATTCTCGATTCTGTTTTTTTTTTTTTTTTATTAATGATGATGTCACAATAATACTAATTATTTGTTCAAAGTTAATATAAGACATAATTTAATTCCAGTTTGAATTTTCTGTTCTACCCAGTCAGTTACCCAATATTTTCTTTAATGTTATGTCAATTTGTAACCAATAATCAACCATTATAAGGACTGAAGACTGCATTTCCTCCAAAAAAACGTATATCAGCAAATGCTCCTTGTATAATATGTCACTGAGAAAAAATGCCAGTATATAATATCAACTGCACATCGGGTTGTATACAATACATTAAATCTGACTTACAGAACCTGTAACTTATGCGTATCAATTGTTCATTCAACAACCAAACGTTTTCATAACCCCTTCTGGGTTCTTCATCAGGATAACAGCTGGAACGAATAGCAAACAATTGATTGAGGTTGTTGAATGAACAATTGATACACATTGGTTACAGTTTCTGTAAGTCAGATTTAATGTAAAAATGCCAGTAGCTTTTAATTCTTTAAAATCCACAACAAAACCAGTAGTGGAAAATTTAATTAAACATAAATCTTGTAATGAATAGCTAAAACTTACAAAAATTCTAGGATTTATTTTTACAGATGAAACAAAATTATAGAAATAACCAATATTAACACCATCCATAACTCTAGACACACATTTTTTGTTATTTAATTTTGAGTCTTCCTACTTATCTCTGTTCTTGTTGTTTTATCATCTCTCTTCTAACTGTATTGTACATCTTTTGAGTTAGGTATCTTCTTTTTTAATAAATTTCATATTAAATTTTGTGTAAGTTACCATTTAAGATCTTTATTTTTCAGTAGTTTTTATTTCATAATTCTCAAATACAATTAAAATTAAAAAGCTTAATTTTATAACCTAATATTTAATATCTATTTTTTAATTTAGATTATGGCTTGTTGTTCGAAATGGATTGGAACAAAGACCACCTCAAAAAATTGGTTATTGTAATTTAATTCCAAATATAGTAGACAATCCAGTGTTTGGATCTGCTCAGTATGAGAAATTAAATCAAGTTCTGGATAGATTTAACAATTCTTATTCACGTAAAATTCCAGGTAATGTTGATATATATTATTTTAAAAAATATTTTCTGGTATGATTGAAATTCATTAAACATATACTTTATAGGACATGGAAGTAGAGGTTCAAATATTTTTTAAAAAGCTTCAACAGCATTAATTACATTTAATAAAGTTTTTAAAACATAGAGGTATGAGTAAGAATCTGTAAAGAAGGAAGAAGATTAAATTATATATAAAGTAATAACAATATCTGTTGATTGTAATCACTTTCAGACTTAAGTATAAATATTCATAGTTCTCAAATACCTGAGTTTAAGATTCACAACACAATTATTTCATTCATTCAGTCTGTTAGTGATATAAGAGTAATATTTTATTATAAATTCATGTTTAAATATCATATAGAAAAACTAGTAAAACATCTTGCTAATTAGTGGGGAATGTTGTTGCAACACTGCAGTAGTGTTTCTTCAAAAAATACATTTTAAGATCACTCTTTACTGATTTTTAATCTACAGGGTGATTCAGCTAAGTATGTACAAACTTCTGGTTGGAGTAGGTTGCACAAAGACAAATCATAATCATATAGCAATGCCTGGTCAGAAATGCCATCTTCATGTGCTAGTGTACAGAGAAAACAAGAAACGAAAGAGCAGCACATAGATAACGAAATTCTTTTTATTGCTCATAAGACATTTGCAAAATGCATTGTGGTTACAGGTGTTCAAAGTTGCAATCGTGAACTGTAACACACGCTTGACATTTTCAGTGTATGGATCATGTACATTTTGGAAAATTCCTGGTGTGTCTTGGACTTCTGAAGCAGCTCTAGGTGCATGCTACCAGGTCCTCATCACTTTCAATTGGGATATTGTTACGGTGACCATATTTTTTGGGGGAAAATAAAGGACATATCGAAGAAAATAAAAAAATCTTATAAAATTCATAAGCTTATAACATTTATTACATGTACACATTGTAAAGATTCAAATAACATTAATTTTGATACTTTCAGTAGAATTAATTTTTTTTAATAGCACTGGTTCACGCTTTAAAAAGTCATAAAATTCCATACAGTTCATTTGAAAGTTTTATTTGACGGAAATAACGTGCTTACTTTTAAGTGGGTTTTTTCATTTGTCCACATATTATTCACCAATGAAAATATTCGTTCGATGGGGCATTAGATCCAGGGAGACAAAGAAAATTCTACAGTTTTACAAATGTTTTTGAAAGAAATTTCTTTTGCTGTAAAATGTTCAAAAATCTCAACCCACTTTTGATGGCAGAGCTTGTTATTCTGTCACCATTCATCGATCTTTTTGTTTGTGACATATTTTTTTTACACACAAAACTTCATCAAATAATTCACTGTCGAGTATACTTACAGACCAATGATTCAAAATAAAAATATAGCTTTCTTCTACCTTCACCCACAAAAGGATTTTGAATAATGTGACCCATTCAAACACCTCTATTTCAATAAAACACATGTCCCAATTATTTAGTACATTAACAGTAAATATGTCACATGCTCAAGCCCCCGAAGATTGTCGACAAGTGTCAACGAATGCTCACCAATGCTCCAGGTGTATCATCCACCAACCAGAGAGTTAAAAAACTATCACAAAAATCCCCATAAGAGTGTCTGCCCCTTGGTACTGTCAAAGGGCCATTCGGTTGGCGACACACTGCACTACCGCGCTCTATGTATCAACGTATGGACATGATGACAACACTGATCGTGATGGTGNAATAGAAATACACTGTTATGGTGTTTGAAAGAATAACTTGATTCTGATTTATCTTTGTTCAACTTATCTCTCCCAGAAGTTTGTACATAGCTGAATCACACCGTATAATTTATTGTCTTCTAATATGATCTTCAGCCATTACTTATCTATTCAGAAAGTCAATAATAAAGTTTATATTTTAATTAATAAATTAAACAGCTTTCCATAAACTAATTCTGAAAACTTCATTAGATTACAAATTAGACTCCCAGACCTTTATTTCAGACTGGTTTATTTTGACTCTGTTTTACTTTTTAACCTCTTTTGTTCTACATTAAATTTTTGTCATTTGTTAACCTCTCAACCTGTCTTATTTTGGAGAATGGACCCTGTTGACTTATCCACAGCCTCCCCACTTGATTTATAGCCCTCCTTAGCCATCCAGTGACAAAGTGAGAGGTGTTCACCAGACTGTCTCCAAAAGAAGGGCTTCGAATTGTTACCTCCTGAGCTCTCAGCCTCTCACATATGCATATTCTGATCATTTTCTGATTTTGTTTCTATGTAATATAGTAGAAATAATAATTTTAAAGCATTTCTGAAAATTGACAAAAATGTACAATTAACTATAGTCATAGCATATTTATAAAATGCCTATTTATGTATGAAGATGATAATAACTAAAACTGAAATATTGATTACAGTATGCAAAGTTTTTTTTATAAATATAACTTCTAAACTTTGGAATATATTAATTCTGATAACAATGTCTATGAATACAATGATTAAGGAAAGGTCCTAGCCAACCTCCCATAAACTTAATGCTATTTTATTATTAATATAATGACCTTATAAGAGGTCAGAATCTTCTTTGCAGTGACATAGCTACATATTCAGTGCCCTGGAGCAAGTCGAATTGGTGCACCCTCTTGTTTCTCGGAAGAGGTCTCACGAAATTTATTTTAAACATTTAATTCAAAAACATCTAATTATTTTGATTTAAAACCTTACTTAATAACAATTTATTTGAGATTCAAAGCATTTCAACAATAAAATATTCAATTTAATAAATCTTATAATACAGAGGCGTGCCGTACATTTGTTGATAGGGAAGCTGTGTTTCTATAAGAAGCCGACTTCCAGGGGCAATCAGTTTATTCTTTCTTTAAATGTATTTTTAATAGATTATTTATTTGACGTACTTAATAAATAAACAAGTTCAATATAATTACCTCTGTTATTAGATCCAATATATTCCATATGCCCTCTAAATGCCAATTCTTGCTTTGATAAAAACATATAACATTTATTTATTTAGATATATTATATCTATTAACCGTAACTATCTCGTTATAATTTTCAATATTTATTTTATATTATTTACTAATGTTAAATTCTATTCCGCTTTGATTTCCAAATTGCTTCAAATACGAAAGAATCGACGATTTTTCGTGTCTTTTGCCAGCTAAATTGTCAAAGNCTTAGTTTAAGAAAAGTTATATAATACAATCTAAAATAAATTCTGAAACAAAAACTTGTTAACTTTGTAAAGACTTATTTACAAAACAAAGCAAAGCATAATTCGTAAATTTTTTCAAAAACATCAATATCAGTATCGAAATAATAATATTCTCGATTCTGTTTTTTTTTTTTTTTTATTAATGATGATGTCACAATAATACTAATTATTTGTTCAAAGTTAATATAAGACATAATTTAATTCCAGTTTGAATTTTCTGTTCTACCCAGTCAGTTACCCAATATTTTCTTTAATGTTATGTCAATTTGTAACCAATAATCAACCATTATAAGGACTGAAGACTGCATTTCCTCCAAAAAAACGTATATCAGCAAATGCTCCTTGTATAATATGTCACTGAGAAAAAATGCCAGTATATAATATCAACTGCACATCGGGTTGTATACAATACATTAAATCTGACTTACAGAACCTGTAACTTATGCGTATCAATTGTTCATTCAACAACCAAACGTTTTCATAACCCCTTCTGGGTTCTTCATCAGGATAACAGCTGGAACGAATAGCAAACAATTGATTGAGGTTGTTGAATGAACAATTGATACACATTGGTTACAGTTTCTGTAAGTCAGATTTAATGTAAAAATGCCAGTAGCTTTTAATTCTTTAAAATCCACAACAAAACCAGTAGTGGAAAATTTAATTAAACATAAATCTTGTAATGAATAGCTAAAACTTACAAAAATTCTAGGATTTATTTTTACAGATGAAACAAAATTATAGAAATAACCAATATTAACACCATCCATAACTCTAGACACACATTTTTTGTTATTTAATTTTGAGTCTTCCTACTTATCTCTGTTCTTGTTGTTTTATCATCTCTCTTCTAACTGTATTGTACATCTTTTGAGTTAGGTATCTTCTTTTTTAATAAATTTCATATTAAATTTCGTGTAAGTTACCATTTAAGATCTTTATTTTTCAGTGGTTTTTATTTCATTGTTCTCAAATACAATTAAAATTAAAAAGCTTAATTTTATAACCTAATATTTAATATCTATTTTTTAATTTAGATTATGGCTTGTTGTTCGAAATGGATTGGAACAAAGACCACCTCAAAAAATTGGTTATTGTAATTTAATTCCAAATATAGTAGACAATCCAGTGTTTGGATCTGCTCAGTATGAGAAATTAAATCAAGTTCTGGATAGATTTAACAATTCTTATTCACTTAAAATTCCAGGTAATGTTGATATATATTATTTTAAAAAATATTTTCTGGTATGATTGAAATTCATTAAACATATACTTTATAAGACATGGAAGTAGAGGTTCAAATATTTTTTAAAAAGCTTCAACAGCATTAATTATGTTTAATAAAGTTTTTAAAAGGTAGAGGTATGAGTAAGAATCTGTAAAGATAGAAGAAGATTAAATTATATATAAAGTAATAACAATATCTGTTGATTGTAATCACTTTCAGACTTAAGTATACATATTCATAGTTCTCAAAATACCTGAGTTTAAGATTCACAAGACAATTATTTCATTGATTCAGTCTGTTAGTGATTTAAGAGTAATATTTTATTATAAATTCATGTTTAAATAACATATAGAAAAACTAGTAAAACTTCTTGCTAATTAGTGAGGAATGTTATTGCAACACTGCAGTAGTGTTTCTTCAAAAAGTACATTTTAAGATCACTCTTTACTGATTTTTAATCTACAGGGTGATTCAGCTAAGTATGTACAAACTTTTGGTTGGGGTAGGTTGCACAAAGACAAATCATAATCATATAGCAATGCCTGGTCAGAAA